AATGAATAGAAGCATGAACATTTGTTCTACTTACACAAGGCCTGGTGTTTCAAAAATACTGCAAAACTTTTTATCAGCACAGTTCAAAATGTTATAAGTAATAAAAGGTGGGTAGTACTACAAGGWATATACTTTAAATGGTTTCCTATAAAAACAGTTTTTATATAATATAAAACACAGATGGATGCTATTACAATAAAGCACAGCAATCACCAATCCCCTCAAGATACTAAGTAATTATGTCCATATTAAGAAATTTGCTCAGTTTATTTGCATGTTCCTAAAAATGCTTCAAAAAGTCACGAGTAAATTTCCATTGTTCCAAATGACGTMCTCAGAAAACTTCTCTCAACACTGAGAAAGAATGTTTGCATGTTTGTATGTTTATGGATTCTGGAGGAGGCTTAGCGATCATGAAGCTGCTTTTATGAACGCAGCATGGAAGCATCAAAACGCACCCTGCGGATTCTCCTGAACATAGCTCTGCATTGTTACAACTGCGCCTCCTTTGGAGTAAAAATAAAAAAAAGGACAGGGTAGCTCTTTGTTGTCCTCTAGGTTGGATGTAGAATGTATTTTTCAAACTTCATYTACCCATCTAATTTCTGCCTCACTGTTTGCCTTATCTGGCTGAACTACTAACTAAATTGTCAAATATCTACATAATATAATTATTCAATTGACAAGCTAAATGCTTGTTCTGTTGATGCTCTCAGATTTAATGGCTTGTGGCACATCCAGTTCTTTGGCTTTTTCTCATTTCTCAATCACATAAATCTAATAAATTATTCTTTCTTTATTATTTTGAATGTTTTTGAATGACTACATGTAGGGATTTTTAAAACAATTTTTAGCTGATATATCTGTTTATATTTAGGAACTTTCTTTTTCACCACCACCAAAAGCAACGTTTCTATGGAAAACTTCAGTTTTTGGGATATTTCAAAGCAAACACCAAAAAATAGARTTGTACAAAATATTAGACATGTTTCTTGTTTCTACTAAGCTTATTTTTTTACTCAGCTAAGTACCAATTACACTTTGTAATCAGTCTTTTGTCTTTGATCAAATATTCTCTCATTTTATTAGCGCTGTTGTAAAATCCAAGACACTCTCTTCCAATTTAGTTTTATCTCAAATCTTCCAACTATTTATCTCATACTGCTTAATGAACTCAACAAAGATATGCATGTCAACAAATTACTTTGCTTAAATTAAATTACAGAGACAGTAATTACAGGACAAGAATCCATGATACAAGCTGTACAAATCAATAATTGAATTAGGTTCTAACAATTATATGGTTTATTTATTTATTTATTTATTAGTTTTTAGTTTTGACCCATGGACAGGACAGAACAGGTTTCAAAAAATGAGTCGATACACAATTTAAAATACTGATTGATGGTCAGTCAGGATAATTCAAAGTAAAGGAAAAAAAACAAGCTTACCCACACACTTAAAAAGCTGAAACATGTGTCCAACATGAACAAAAATCATGGCTTCTTAAACACACAAAATTTTTACTGAAGCATGACAGCGTGAGGCAAACGTGTTCTCAATTTCCCAAAACACCTCACACTTTCAAAGTCAAACAGGCTTTCTCACATACAGTTTTACCATACAAGTGCATACAAATTACTTCTGTGTCTATATTCCCACAGGGACATTCATCCCATCAACTCTAAGCATTCCCTAGTGATAACTGAAATCTGAACTCTACAACCAAGTCCTAACCCTCAAAATTRACTTTGTACCAGTCAGAAACTCTCTTTCTATTTAGGTTCTTCAAATCCCAGAGTCATTTAAAATACTAAAAAGCAAAAGTAGAAATGCCTTAACAGAAAATTACTTTACTAAAAACTAAGTAAAAGTCATAAAACTTCTCACAARAATTGAGCATGTAAAAGTATTTTTGCACACACTCCAAGAAATGAAGTGTTGAATTTACTTAACCAAACTGGCAAATTGCTTTACATTTGCTCAACTCAGTTTAGCAGAACCAGTTGACTTAACTTGGTTAAGTAAATTCAGCATTTCAGTTTTTAGAGTGCACAAACCATTCTTTTCATCATGAGTTTTGGTCATATTTATATTTGTAACATGTAACTAGGTGTTATATTAAAATAAAGAAGCATTAGAATGTATTTATGTTTTAAATGTAACAGAATAAAAATAAAAGTTACAAAAAATGCTTGATAAAATTACAAATCCTAAAAAACATGACTTAAATAATGTGAAATAAATAAATGTACTTAGTTACTAAACACATCTGACTAATCCTATGCAGCTCCAGCATAATATTGGGACTCAGGAGGATACAAATGTGGCACCAATGGAAGGAAGAATTGACAAATCTGTAATTTCCCCTTGGGATCAATAAAGTATTATTCATTCATTCATTCATTCATTCATTCATTCATTCATTCATTCATTCATTCATTCATTCATTCATTCATTCATTCATTCATTCATGCAGTCTCAGTGGCAGAAACATACAGTATAAACCATGCAGCTGAAGTTTGAGCGAGTTGTTTAGCATTAAGACATGTCTCGTGTGATATTTGCTGAGCTTTTCTAATGAGCTACGACATTACAAAGGGGGAACCGCATGAGTG